ATATATGTATAAAATCAATTGAAATGAATACCATGAACATGAAATAATAAAGAAATCATAAAAATCTCATGAACAATTAGATGTATCTTTTAAGATTTGTAACTCCCAATTAATTATTGGGGGTTACAAAAAGGTTGAATTACCAAATTAYCCTTATCATTAATTTATAATTTAAATTTGAACCTAAAGTGAAGAAAGAATGTGATTGGTCAAGATCGGTTTCCATTGTTTGTATCATATGGTTGGTTTCTATTTGAACCAACCTCTAATATATATATATATATATATAAAAGAAAGCTTGGACGAAGACCAACGAACATGAATACGTGCATCACCTAAAGTATTTCGGGTATACATTTATTATCAATTATTAAGCATGATTACAGATTTACGAGTTGATATATAAGCTCTTCTTTTATTATGTATTTTATTGTAAAAGGAATTATATTACAAGTTGGGATTCTATCTATATTATTTTAGAATCTATATGAATCTTAAAATCATTATATTATCTATAAAATAGAGTATTAAAAATCAAAATCTCTAAAAAAAATATATTCAACTCTTATATTTAAGTAATTATAACATTAACTATATATTTAATAATATAATCCTAAACATTCATCATTAATACATCTTATTGGTGGAAGAGTATTTTAAATAATAATTTCTCTTTCTATTTAGAGATTTCTCTAAATTTTAGAGCTTTTTTTTATAGTCTGTCTCCTCTTTTCTCTATTTAACATACAAGATAGCATAAGTATTGGTAATTTTGAGAATTTTTTTAGTTAAAATCCTTCTCTTTTCTATTTAAGTATAACTGTTAGAGATGCTCTAACAATCTGATGTTAATCTTATATGACCATCGCATGATCAAGAGAACCAAGGTTAAGATTCCTAGGTTGATTCATCGGTAATTGAGTTGATTATATTTTAATTTTGACTCTTTTCTTAAATGATATTGTTCTTAAAGTTAACCTTTGATGCATATCTGAGACTTTTAATAATTTGAGGAGCATGGAGGACGTGTCTTAGGGAGAAGGGCGGGTAGGGGAGGGGTAGTGGTGTTGCCATAACTGTTAGAAAATTATTGCAGAAAATTAGAAGTAAAGCAAACAGATTAGGATGTGATTAAGATCACTATCCTTAGAATAATATTAGCCTCTACTATATGTTGTTAGGTAATGGCTAATTTATTCCCAGGATTAACCCAATCTAGATGAATGATACAGCAAATCATACATCTCCATGAACATCTAAATCGTTGCAGAAATCGAATAGAAGAAGAGAAGAACCAGGGAAAAATTAAAACATCCAATTCTAACGAAATGTTAGATTTATATGGGCTATAGGTAACAGTTTTAGGCAACAGAAAGACTGTTAGTGGATAAGATCTTAACCAAAGAACTGCACATATGGATAAGAAACTGTACCGTAATATTTGATAAAGAGGATTTGGGCTTGATTTTATACTTGATTTTGGTTGACATAGAAATTTTTTATGGATCAAAAGACAGCACTAACACTAGCATTTATGATTGGGTTGTTGAATGATCATGGTGTTAAAAACATTGCCCAGATCAGTAGGAGACATGAGTTGACCATATGGAGCCGCCATATGTTGTTGTTGAGGAGCAAGGAAAGCATGTTGTTGAGGCATGTTGTGAGGACGGCTAGTTGGATTGTGCCCGAGAAGGTCTGCTTGAGGGTGAGTAGGCGACGCGTAGGGTATAGGCAGGGCGGTACCACCCATTGTCTGTAGGCGCTCCTGGGGGTGTCCATGGTTGTTGATACAATGGCTATCGAGATTAAGATAGATGACCACGGCCTCCATGGTCGGGGAGACCCCACGGCCCCGACCATTTCCTTGTCCCCTTGGTGGTGTTGTGGATCAGATTGGGAAGGAGTCGTTGTTGGCACAGTTGAGGACCTGATTATGGGCTTACCACAAATGTTTGTTGATGTTACTCTTGCTTGGTGCGACCTTTCCTTTGAGATGAGTTGAGAGCGAGGCTCAATGAAACTGGGTAGAGGGTCGGCTTGCTGAATCATGGTAGCAATGGTACTGTATTCGCCTATCAAAAGCCTAGAAATCAATTGCAATACCATCTTTTGTTCAGATACGGGGTGCCAACGTTAGTCAATTGATCAACGATAGTTTTGAAGTGTTTGCAGTAATCCGCCATGTTGGTGAAGTTTTCAAGACGTGTTGTATTGAACTTCTCTTCTAGATATACAGTGCGGATATGTTTGTTGTCTTGAATTTTTTTTGCGAGATGAGTCCATTATTCTTGAGCCTTACACCAGGTTTCATGATGGTTTGAAGAAGATCTTTAGAAATAATACCGTAGATCCATTGTTTTATAATAGCATCTAGGTGGTTCCATGTTGAATCGTCGATGGTAGTTGGTCGAGGTATGGCAGGGTTGATGTGGTCAAGAACACTGTATATACATACATGGATGTGAAACAGTTCAACCCATTAGGCATATTGTCCATCTTCTTGATCGCGAAGGATAGAGATTAGGGTCTTGATGTTGCTTACAGCGAAAGCCAAGTGAAAGGGGTTTAAAGATGAAGAGCTTTCGGTCTTAGTAGTGCCGTCAACAACCATTGAAAGAGAGGAGATGGTCGTGGGTGAACCAACAAAAGAGGAGAATTTTCAGAGGTGCTATGATACCATGTAAGGCCGAAAGAAAATGAAATACTTGTTCCTGATACCATATCTATTGCAATCGGGATATTAATGTATCTTGTTAGTTATTCACGACTTGATGTCTCATTTGCTAATAAGATATAATTTTACGCAAACAATAATACATTTCTTAATTATCATTGAAGCATTATAGATGTAAGTTCATTTCACCCAAATATCCAAATCAAGCCTTGTTGGTTATTTGTCATATCCCCACAATGGAAAATCACAAACAGGTTATTTGTTGACATTTTGGGGTATAACTATTTGTAGCGTCATGTGATACATACCATAGCAGCTACATCCTCTTAATTATTTAGAAATTTTAGTACTACACGAGGCAAGTCATGAATGTTTTATGTAACACCCTGTATTTTATATGGTAGAGTCATGGGCGACTAAACAAGAAACTTGCTTCACATCCCAAGGTGCATAAGTCTCTAGAATTTGGTTATGTTTTAGGTGTGTGTGCGACTTGATACGCTAGTGGAGTCACGGCATAACCAGCGTAACCCCATGGATTCTTAGCATTATGGGGACTCCCAACGGAGGGCATCTGACAGGTTTTTAACCCAAATTTGAGCTACAGGTTGCTCATTCTTCAACCTCTTCATTTTCTCTCCATTAGAGACAATTTTGGGCTTCACTTTGGATCAACATGGGAAGCTTTTGGATGCATTCAAGAATTGATTTGGAGATTGGCTTGGAGATCAAAGATCTTGTTGATGGAATCAAGAAAATTTCTCAAGATGGGTTGAAATCAAGAGTTGTCTTGTAGATTATGAGATCTTTGCCATGTGAAGAAAAAATGGGTTGGAATTTAAGTTTAGCTTAACTTAACAATGTGAGTTTCAATTACTTTGTGAAAAACTATGTACGTATAAAAAATGTCCATATTCTAATCTATATTTGCTCAAATGGGATTTTGCACACATAATGCAATCATTTATTTTACTTATTTGAACATTGGATACTTGTGGTTGCATAAATGTTCAGGAAAATGCATATAAACCCACAACATTTTCAAGTGATAAATCATAATGTTGGGGCAAAATGATGATTTTGAACCATAAACAAGAGCTGTTGTAACTTTCTATTGGTCATTTGTTTGACCCATTTAGGCATCACTCATTTGCTAGAATAAATGTTTAAGAAATACCTATCTTGATTTTTGTTGACATTTCAAGATGTAAATTACACTAGTTGTGGCCTTTTAATGATTTTGAATCATGTACTATAAGTGTCGGGCTTTGCCCAACTTTGGTGGTTCATTTGTCTAAATGAAGATGTGGTATAATGAAATTGCATAACTATTTGGAAAATGCATTGCCAGATAACTATTGTTAACTTCTATTGAAATAGTCATGTAAGCAGTGGATTTTTATGAATTAAACCATGATCAATAGAGTTTCGGGAGTATGCCTAACTTTGGTTGTTTATTTGTTTAATTTAGACACTCATCACATCTATTTGCATAATCACTTGTAATTTACATGTCATTATGCATATGTTCTTCTACATGTATAGATGATTATGATTGTGATTTTGATGCTTTAACCCTTGTATATAAGGTTAATTTCTTTGTTGATTATTCATTTGAGAAGTTTTGATGTTCTCTCTTGGACCTGGAAGAGTAGGCATTAAGTCATATAGCGTATTGTGGTAGTGAACTCGTGCAAAGTCGGACCATTGACTTTAGAGTGTAACTTGACTAGTGGATGAGTAGGCACTAACATCATTTTGGGTATTAGAGTGGGAACTCATGTAGAGTTAGATATCGGGACCCTAGTATTACGATGGTAAACTTTGTATAGTCAGGTACCATGATTTTTCATCTTGAGGTGAAACTCAATAACATCGATATGTGACTTACTTCTATCTTTTGTCACATTTAATGAAAATGGATCTCCCCCTTCATCGAAAGATGTGTTTGATGTTTTAAGGATGTGCAAACAGCGTTTTTGGAAAGATGTTTATACTACATCTTATTTTCATTTGAGAAAAAAAATTATCTAAAAAACCTGTCCTGGCACCCACCCATCGCCCCCCGTCCCTTGATTCCAACCCCGCCCCCACCCGTCGTTCCCC